GACTGACACCAGCCTGGAAAGTCTTGAATGACAAGTGAGCCAATGTGAACTTTGTTCAGCTTGCATCGAGGACTTCGGGAATATCTTGAGCATGACAGATCTATGGATTCGATTATTCTAACAATGTTCTGAAGAATGGGTAGGAGGAGAACCTAGAAAGTGAAGGAAAGCCTCTTAGGAGGAGACTGCGGGATCCCAGGTGACCAGGAATGGGGGGTTAGTGTAGCAACACTGGCCACAGAGAGGGAAAATTTGAGAGCTGTTCCAGAAGCCGTGCAAAGGCCCCACTAACTGCATTGCACATAAAATGTGAAGGGTGGAGGAGTCAGGTAATAATAGCTGACATTTATATCATTCAGGGTTTGGAAAGTACTTTGTTGTGTATACTGTCACATTTAGGTCTCCAAACAGCTCAATGAGGTTAGTGTTCTGCAGGTAACCCCTAAGTTTCAGATATCAGAAACTGGTTCAATAGTGGGGATGCTGGGATTAAGAGGTGCAGATTGGGAGAGGGGACAGCAGTGGGGCAGGGGTGGAAGCTAAGAAGCTTTTGAAAGTGTTGAGTTTTATGTACTGGAGGGACAGCCAATCAAAGGCCATTAAATTTTACAAATATTTATAATTAATTAATTAAATTTAAAATATATTTTTATTTACAAACATTTAAGTGCTTTCTGCATGCCAGTCACTGTAGTAGATACCGGAGGTAAAAAGATGAAAGCAAAAAATGTAAACCCCCCCCGCCCCCCAAAAAAAGCCTTCATTCTTTTCTTTAAGGAGTTGACCTTCTTTGGGTCCACGTGTAAGTGAATCTGGAGTATATATACAGAGTAATTTCAGGGGACACTAATAGCAGGGGCCTTGGTCTGAACTTTGAAGGGAAATAGGGATTCTAGAGGTGAATGATGAGGAGGGTGTGTGCTGCAGGCACAGAGACAAGAGGGACCTCCTATGTCTATGGGGATAGGAAGCAGGCATGTTTGGCTGGAGCAGAGTAAAATGTAGCCAGCCCATCGTGTCAGACAGAGGTGTTTGCATTCTATCCTAAGGGCAATAGGGAGTCCTGGAGCTTTGCAGCAAGGGAGAGAGAGGATCAGATTTCTGTTTGGGGATTTTTTTTTTTTTGGCAGCTCTACAGAAGATGAACTGGAGAAGGGAGAGAGACTTGAGATAGGGCCCACCTCGTAGGAGATGGTCATGTGCTCAGAGAAGGGGGCAGATGGATGTAAGAGATGTGGTGGGGGAGCATTAATGACAATGAAGGGGGTGTACTTTTGATAGCATCACTCAGATCACATGCTGTTAATTGCATGTCCTTGTTAGTCATCTCCTGACCTCCATGACTTTCCTTGATCACTTAAGAACCTGACTTGCGATTTTCTTCTTCAGCTGTCACTATTCAGAGTATCGTCATTACTGTCCACGTTGGTAACACACATTCTGCACAATCCCATGACGTCTTCAACTATGATGACTTTCATCTCTATGAAAGTCTGTCCTGTACATACCTTCTTTGCAGGTTGTCTTCCCCACTAGACAGCTCCTTATGAGCAGAGACTGTTAATGGCTCTATTACTATCTCCATTTTACAGATGAAAAAAGGGACAGCATAAGGGTTCAGGGGCCTTAACCACAGTCACACAATATATCTGAAGCAGGATTGGAATCTGAATCTCCAAGTCTAGCCCTCGATCCACTGTATAATTGATGTCAAATTCAAATAAAAACAAATTCTTTGAAAAGCACAAATGAACATTATCAGTATTATTTTGTATTTTTGCTTATTTTGTTAAACTTTTCCCAGTTACATTTTAATCTGCTTCAGACCCATTTGGGAGTTTTGCTGGCTGGTTGAGTTTGACACCTTTGCATTACATCATACTGTCTTTCTTTCCCCCATGTCTCATCTTCCCTATTGGATCCTTACTTTTCCTTAAAGGTTTAGCTCAAATACCAGTCTGTCCATCATGATCCTCACAATAATGGAAATGATCCCTTCCTCCTCTAAACTTTCTTGTTGCCTTGTTTCTACCTCCCTTTGGGCACTTAAAATACTCTTTTTGTGTTATGATTATTTATAAACAGTATGTCTTTCATTTCAAGAGAAGCAGTTTGATGTAATGTAAATAGAGAACTAGTCTCAGAAGAAGAAAAATCTGGAGTTAGGTCCTACCTCTGGCCACATGTTGGCTGTGTGCCCTGAACATGTAACTTAAACATTCAGTGTTCCCAGGCAACTCTGTAAAATTACAAAGCAGGTGCTAATTTGCATTGGTAAAAGTTCTTCACTGCTACCCACGAACCTGTGAAATTACAGGTTGATAAAGCCAAAGTTTTTTCATATATAACACGTATATATTTTTGGGAGCAGAGAATGATATTCTATTTCATTTTACCTGTTTTATAACCTGAATCTAGTATATGCCAAAGAATTTGTTGGGCAAGATCTTGTGGTCCAACCAGTTTTCTACCTCTTTATTATGACCCTTGGTTATAGATGTATGTCAAGGTTTTCAGCATAATTTCTGAAGGTTTGTTTTCTGGTTTTGTTTGTTTTGTTTTGTTTTGTTTTTTCATTTAACTGAAGACTATATTATCAACCATTGAGCTCAGCTCTTGTAGTCTCCTGGGAAGCAGTGCCTGTCCCCACTTCTTAACATTTACCATAGTACCTAGTGCTTCAAGATTTCTATTTTATGGCTGGCATTTAACCAGGATGTTTACTAAAAAGTGTGTGTATGTATGTGTGTGTACGTGTCCTAAATCTATTTATGCCATCTTGGGACTAACAAGAGATAATTTATTTACTTGGAGGATTATCTGGGGTGCTATTTCTTCTGCCTGTCTAGGCAGGGACATATATAGGTTGGTAGCTTTTAGACCAAACTGGGAGAAAGTCTCTCCATGAGGCCGATTTGAGAGGATTTGTGTAAGAGAGTATATTTCTGAGTAGATACACTAGTCAAATATAAACCATTTTATTAACAATCTATTTGGAATTATTCACTTCTCCTTTCCCCTACATAATTGATTGAAATATATTCTGAATCAATGAAAAAATAATATGTAATATTTGCCTGTCAAGAGACACACATGAGTAATTTACTGGTCTCTATCCCTTCTTGATTTCTATCCTTTTTAGTTACTGCCTTGTTACCGTGCCTCCCCCAGGCCATGATCCTCCATGATGACACGCCCCCTCATCTCCCTTTCTGTCCACATTCAGCTTCCTTCATTGTCCTTACTACAAACTAGGTGGTTTGTCAGATTGTAGCCAGGGAGCAGCCTTAGACCTGGAGGCAGTGGAGTGAGTCTATTTCTGATTTTGAGCTCACCTGTGATGTAGAAATATGAGCACAGCCTCCCCTGAACTGTGCTGAAAATGTTTACAATGCCATTTTGTGATGGTTGTTGGGGGTTGTTTTTTGTTATTTGCCCGAATAATAACATTCAAAGTTACTGAAACAAAGCATCAGTTTCATTTTTAGTAAGGAAGATTTGTCATGGTGGTAAAAAGTCTTTGTGAATTAAAATGCCGTTCTGAATGTGCACTCAATAGTTACAGGAGGAAGTATAGTATAATGGAAAACAGAATAAGATTCAGAGTCCAGAGCCCTGAGCTCTGCAGCAGTCTCTGACACCAACTTCGCAGGTGGCTTTTCTGAGTCAGCTTCCTTATCTATAAAATGAGTTGATTGGATTTGAAGATTTTTAAGGTCTCTTCCAACTCATTTCTGTGATTCTTTAATCACACACACAGAATCTCACAGCATCAGTTTCTATAAAACTGATTCCTATTCCAATACAGATTTAGATAAAATAAGCTTGGAGATAAGTTTGTTTGAGAAAACCAGTGATAGGAACCCAGATATTGTCACAGGACCTAGTCCTGCTGAGGCACTACATCTGTTGGGTTATATATTCTACTGTCATACAGCATAGATATTTTTAGAATTGTCTCATAATATTAAAACCAGCTTGAATAAAATTTGCACAAATCTCCAAAATATCATCAAGAGAATAGTCTATACGAACATGGTGACCAAAAATCATCAGGACTTCCTTGCCAGCTACTACATTTTGTCAGAGTAACAAGTAACATTTCATAAAACTTAATCGTTAAGCTTGAATAGTTTAAAACTACTAAGGTTTGGGAACCCCTGTATTCTTCTGATGGGGCCTTCCAGGCTTTTTTCATACATCTACATACCCACATACATTATAGTACTATAGACATCGAACTCTATGAGTGTCATCTTTGTGGGTTTTTTTAATTCAGCAGGTTGTCATATCCACATGCCATGGATCAGTCAGACAAATGAGAGATGCTTCAGAAAAAAAATGGAACCCTTCTGCCCAAGTTAGGGATTGACAGCCTGCCACGGGTAGTGAGAGCACTACCAAGCAGATGCTAACTTACAGAAGAAAATGTGAGATTAGACTACAATTTAAAATGCTGCCTTTATAGCTATACTGCTGCATTAGAATCAAATAGGCTAACAACAGCTCTTTAATTAGATTAATATAATCCACTGATTGCTTTTTATAACTGACTAGCCCAAATTATTTCTCTTATCCTACAATTTCAGAGCAAAATATAATGTGGGTATAAAGGCATTATAAAATTGAAGCATGTTTTTACTTCTAAAACTTGAAAAAGTTTGCATGGTTGTTTGGAGAAATGAGAGAAATGGTGTTAGGGGCTCCTGTGTCCTATTTTGTGAGGTGGTATCTCGTCCTCAGCTGTCACCCTTCCCATTCCTCCTACCACCCCCATCATAGTACAGAGAGTGACGTCTTCAATAGTTCCCATTAGTTTTCAGTAGTTACCTTTTTGCCTGCATGTTAGCCTTCAGTTTAATGGCCTTCTTTGTGTTCATTCATTTTATTTTGTTTCCCATCGTGGTTTTGTTTATTTCTTTTTTGTTTTTTTTTCTGTTCTCTTTTTAAAAACCGTCGTGGTTTGCCCTTCATATTCCCCAATGTTTGCACATGACAAGATGTTGCCATCCCAACATTACCTCCCACTTCACTGACCAGTGCCACTACTGACCATCTAGCACCAGCCACAACTGGACCACTACCTTCAGCACCGAGGGACGTCGTGGCCTCGCTCGTCTCTACTCGCTTCATCAAACTGACTTGGCGAACACCAGCATCAGATCCGCACGGAGACAACCTCACCTACTCTGTGTTCTACACCAAGGAGGGGATTAATCGGTAAGGAATTGAATTTCTGTTCTTAATACTTTCCACCACCTTCACTGTGCAAACATTGGCTCTTATATATTCTGTTTAGTGACAGAAGTACTCTTTTCACTCCTTTTTAGTGTTGTGGATATGTTTGTGTTCATATCTAAGTATCTGGGCTGTTGAATATCCAGGCCCTTTTTACTGATGTAGGCACATAAAGATGTGTCAGCCCTTGAGGTCCGAAGGCGGAGACAGTACACAGGCTTCCCAAACACTTGGGCTGCAGCAAAAAGTACTGTATGTGAAAGTATTCAGTATTGACCTTTCCTAAACTCATTGGATTAGCTTAGGTTGTGATAGTTATTGGATTCAGTTCAAATGCTTTTCTTAAACAGAAGAACCATGCTCTGAATAGGTATAGCAAATTCTATTAAGTATTTCTTTTTACATTAGGAAAACAAACCCATTTTATTATTAAGAATATGTTTTTTAACCTAGGACAAGGTTATGTTTACTTGGTCTCACTGGGCCTTAGTTGACTCTTTGTTAAAAGATCTCCTTTTCTTTTACCTTCTGTAAGGGTTTGTTCCCTTTATTAACTTATGTTCTTGCATGTGAATAGACTGACCTCAAATTAATGCCCTGTGTGAAGGAAGGACAATAGGATCTCATCGAGAGAGCTGGAGAAGACCTCAGAGGTCCTCTCGTCCAGCTCCCTCATTCTGTAGCTGAGGAGCTGAAGTCCAGAGAGCTTAAGTCACTTACCTAAGGTCACGTGGATTGCAAGCATCGAGGATGGCTTTGAACCCAGCTCCTCTATGGCCAGAACTAGTGTTCTTTATGCCCCACTGTCTCAAAATCTTCACCGGCTCCTTGTGTCCTAATAGTTGTAATAGCTCACAATTTCCAGAGGCAGCTGAGAAAGCGTGGGACGTAGAGTCAGGAAGACCTGAGCTCAGATCTGACCTCAGATACTCACTAACTCTGTAACTCTGGGAAATTCACTTAACCTGTTTGCCACAGTTTCCTTAACCATAAAATGGGAATAATAACCGCTTCTACCTCCTGGGGTTGTTTTCAGGATGAGATGAGATGATATCTCTGAAGTGCTTAGCACGTGGTAGGTGCAATATAAATGCTAGTTGTTATTATTGTTATTATTATTTGGACCTTACAGCAGCCCCATAGAATAGGTGCTAGATTATATTCCTTTTACAGATGAAGAAACCAAGACTCAGAGGTAGTGAGTAACTCGCCTTGTGTTACACATACAGATAACCAGTCTTCAGATTGGCTTTGGTCTTTCTGTCTCTTGGTCCAGTGCTCTCTTCTCAAGGCCATCCTGCCTCACAAAGATGGAATCAAAGTTTCCCGTCCTGGAAATCTGAGAAAGACAAGACTTGTGCATTTGACTCTAAGCTATTCTTCCACCTGCCTTGCTTGATTATCCTCCAACTTGAACCTTCTATTCTCACCAGACTGGTTTTGTTCCCAACTTCAAGTTTCTTACTCGTATTGTCCTCCTTCTCCAGTTGTATGAAGACAAGTCATGTATCAAATCCCAGCTCACTTCCCAGCTCTTTTATGATACTTTCCCTCACTTTTCTGGCCAGTATCAGTTTCTTCTCCAAATCTGCCTTGTCACTGTGCATTTTGGCACTTTTAGGTGATTCAGTATAATGTATGATTTTTAAATTATTTCAAAAGTGGCTATATCAAGATGTTTTCCTAATGGTGCTGTCTCTTAGTACCTGGTTATGTACCCCTCTGTTTTAATACAATGTTAAATATTTTTTCACCCTTAGCAATCAATACATTTATTGAGAGCCTGACATGGGCCAGCTATTATGCTAGGTACTGAGGATACAAATGGAAAAGGGAGACAGTCCCTGCCCTCAAGGGGCTTGCATTTGGTGGGGGATGTGTATCATATTCACAGATAAGTTATATATACAGTCAGTAAATACACAATCATTAAATGTCTACTGTACGTAAGGCTTTGTGCTAAGCACTGGGGATACAAAGAAAGCAAAAATGTGTGATCCCTGCCTTCATGGAGATCACCTTCCAATGAAGGAGATGACATAGAAATAAGTGTGTACATCCAAGATATATGAACAATGTAATTGGAAGGTCATGTCAGCAGAAGGCACAGCAGGGGTTGGGGGCCGAAGACGGGAGGAATCCTGCGGAGGGTGTGTTTTTGCTGAGTCTTGAAGGAAGTCAGGAATTAGAAGAGGAAAAGCATTCCAGGAATGAGGGACAGCCAGTTCAAGTGCACAGAGGCCAGTGTACCCAGATTATAGAGTGGAAGGGAGGAAAGGGTAAGAAGGCTGGGAAGGCAGGAACAGGCCAGGTTGTGAAGGGCTTGACATGCCAAACAGAGGGTTTTATATTTGATCCTGGAGGTGATGGGGCCTGCTGGAGATTGAGTAGGGGCAGGACACGATCATTCCTGCACTTTAGGAAGATCACTGGGACTGTTGAATGGAGCACGGGCTTGAAGGGAAGGAGACTTGAGGCAGACCTCCAGTTAGTGCAGATGATAAGGAAGGGACCTGTACCAGAGTAGTGGCTGTGAGTGCAGAGAAGGGGAGTCTGCAGCAGAGATGTTGGGAAGGGAGAACTGATAAGAGCTGAGCTGACTGACTGGATCTGGGCGGGTGAGTGTGAGTGAGGACTGGAGGATGACATTGGGCTTATGAACCTGGGTAGCAGAGAGGATGGTGGTACCCTTAGCAATACGAAAATGAAAAGAAGGGCATAGAGGTGGGGGAGGGCAGAATGAGTTCTATTTGGACAGGTTGTATTTAAAGTGCCTATGGGACATTCAGTTCCTGATGCCTAAAGGGCAGCTGATAGTGCAAAACTGGAGCTCAGGAGAGAGATGAGGGCAGGTTATACAGATATGGGGATAATCTCCATAGAGATGATAACCAAATCCAGGGGAGCTGATGGAATCACCAAGAGAGACAACATAAAGGGAAATGAGAAGAGGGCCCATGGCAGAGATTTGGAGTTTATATTTGATCCTAAGGGAAATGTGCAGCCACTAAAATTTCTTAAGCAGAGAAATGACAGTCAAACCTTTACTTTAGAGATGTTAACTTGACAGTATGGAAGATGCACTGGAACAGGGAGAGATTTAAGGGAAACCAATTCAGCTCTACACTGGGTATTTTTCTGAAGTCCCTTGCCCTTTTAGCCTATCAAAAATCTTGCCCTTCCATTCACCAGCCTTAGATTACTCCCACCATCCACTGCCCTTGCGTCTACTTAACATGCTGCTAAATGAAGCTGGAGAAAGAAAGAAAATCTTCCTAACTAGGTCCATTACAGGTTTAGATTATGTAATCTCAGCTGGGTCCTCACTGCAACAAGGCAGTCCTTTTGTCCCTCTCTTAATTGATTACCTCACTCGCCATAGCTCTTTTCCAAGCTTTTCGTCCTTCCTCAAATCTCCCCATTACCCTGTCATCTGAGAACCTTGCCTCATTTTTCACTAAAAAAAAAAACAAAACACCAAAGCCACCGTAGCTTCCCCTTCTCCTGGGTGCCTTGAGCCACTCTCTCCTCCCCTTCTGTTTTACATGAAGAGCCATGGTCAGGGCTGGCCTTTACATGCACAGTGAATCTGTTCCTTCTCAGGTTCTTCAGCAGATTGCCTCCTCTGCCATCCCTACTTTTTCTAATCTTATAGTCAATCCCTTTCTACTGGCTATTTCCCTACTGCTGGCAAACATGCCCATATCTTCCCCATGCTTAAAAAATTCTCATTTGATTAATTCACCATCTTATATTTTCTTCTTTTTTTGACTAGAATCTTGAGAAGGCCATTTACAGTAGGAGCTTCTTCTTTTCTTTTCTCTCATTCTCTTTAACTCTTTGCACTCTGACTGTCAGACTCATCAAAAATTGAAACTTTTCTCCAAAGTTAATAATGAACTGTTTTCTTTCTGTGCTTCTCTTTATTTTTAAGTAATATTTTATTTTCCCCCACATTACACGTTACAATTACAATTACAATTTTTAACATTCATTTTTTTAAATTTTGAGTTCCAAATTCTCTTCTTCCCTCCCCCTCCCTGAGATGGTAAGCAATTTGATATAGGTTATACATGTATAATCATGCAAAATAGACTTCTATGTTAGTCATGTTGTGAAAGATGACCCTCCCCTCCCCCCCCAAAAAAAACGCATGAAAAAAATAAAGTGAAAAATAGCATGCTTCAACTTGCATTCAGACTCTGTCAGTTTTTTCTCTGGATGTGGATAGCATTTTTCATCATGAGTCCTTTGTAATTATCTTGGATCATTGTTTTGATCAGAATAGCTAAGTCTTTCACAGTTGATCATCTATAGAATTGCTATTACTGTGTATGATGCTCTCCTCGTTCCATTCATTTCACTTTGCATCAGTTCATGTTGTCTTTTCAGGTTTTTCTGAAATCATCTTGCTCGTCATTTCTTATAGCTGTACTTCTCTTCATCCATTATATTTGTTGTTTCTTTTTTAAAAAAATATATTTTATTTCATTAAATATTTCTCAATTACATTTAAACATTTTTTTAGCATTCTTTTTTTAAAATTTTGAGTTTCAAATTCTCTGCCTCCCTCTCACTCTTCCCCTACCCTTTGAGAAGGCAAATAATAGGATATTGATCATACTTGTGAAGTCATGCAGAACATATTTCCATATTAGCTATATGGCAAAAGAAAAAACACATAAGTGAAAAAAGGATGCTTCAATCTGCACACAGAGTACTAATGAACTTTTAATTGCCAAATTTGGTGGCCTTTCCTCAGTCCTCATCCTTCTTATCTCTCTGCAGCCTGTGACATTGTTGATCACCCTCTTCTCCTTGATACTCTCTTCTCTTGGTTTTCATGACACTGTTCTCTTGATTTTCCTTGTAGTTGTCTGACCAGTTGTCTCCTTTGCTGGATCTTCATCTGTATCATTCCTGCTAAAACTGAGGGTCCCCCCCAAGGCTCTCATGTGCCCTCTTCTTTTCTCCCTTTACAC